GGCCCGGGCCTAGGCGGGCCCGGCGGCCACCCCAAGCCGCCGCACCGGGGCGTCGGCGAGCCCCGGGGGGGTCGCCAGCACCACATTCCCTACCACCAGCAGCACCACCAGGGGCCCCCGCCCGGCGGGCCAGGCGGCCGCAGCGAGGAGAAGATCTCCGACTCCGAGGTGAGTGTGCGGGAGCAACGTGTCGGCCTCCCTAAGATGGCCGCGGCCCACGGCGCCACCCCCCTCCCCCGTCCTCGACTCCATCTTGTCGGAAGCCTCAGGGCGCCTGCGCGCGGCGGCGGGGGCGGGGCCCGGGGTGGGTAGCCGGCCGCTGGCCCGGCGGCTGAGGCGACCCGGGACTGGCAGCCCACGCCTCCGTTTTGAGGTGAGGGCGGAGAAGGGACGGTGGCTGCCCGAAATTAGCGACGCGATCCCGGGGTGCGTAGGGTGCAAGATGGCCATCCGACGAGCTTGGTTCCTTCGGGCCGTGAGATGAGGGTTTGGAGTGTTCGGGAAGTCCTGGTCTTGCCAGGACACGTCTGCCAGTGATGGCGGGACTTGGCTTGTAGACAGTCTTCTCCCGTAGGTGGTAATCGGGTACTGTTTGGTTTGGGTCTTACCAATTCACGGGTATTGGGGACAAATCGGGTCTTGCGGTTGGCAGGTTTGGGCTTCATCGACTCTTGGAGGAAGTGTGCGGCGGGTGTGCTTGGGTGAAGTCTGATTTGGAAGGCCTGTTGGAAGTGTGGAAAGGAGAATGAAATTAGGATTTTCACTAGGAAGGATTCTGAAAACAGCCCAACTGATACCGCCTGTTCATATAGTTTATTGAAATTTTCTAGGGCTTTAAAGCCAACCTCTCTCTGTTGAGGAGACCTGGAGAGAAAACGTACACGCAGCGCTGTCGGCTGTTTGTGGGGAACCTGCCCGCTGATATCACGGAGGATGAATTCAAAAGACTATTTGCTAAATACGGAGAACCAGGAGAAGTTTTTATCAACAAAGGCAAAGGATTCGGCTTTATTAAACTTGTGAGTGTGATCCACTTGATGAGGAACTTTTGTGGCTGCTGCAAAGGAAGCACTGTGGGCTTGGTGTTTTAAACCAGTGAGAACTGGCCTTTTACGTTTTTCATCTTTAAAGATGCCACTGCTACTAGTCCTTGCTGGAATCCTCTCAGTGGCATTTGGGGTTGGGCTAGTAAACAGTAAGGATTTTAATTAACCATTTGCCCTGAGTGCCCTCGGGAAGGACTGAAACAGTCACGTTTGAATTTAGCTGGGGGAAAAATAGGGATAGGAATTGTGACAATTTAAGAATGAACATTAGCCAATTCTGAGGTCATTAACCTGAATGTTTGATCCCCCCCCCCCCAGGAATCTAGGGCATTGGCTGAAATCGCCAAAGCTGAGCTTGACGATACCCCTATGAGGGGTAGACAACTTCGAGTTCGCTTTGCTACACATGCTGCTGCCCTTTCAGTTCGTAATCTTTCACCTTACGTTTCCAACGAACTCTTGGAAGAGGCGTTTAGTCAGTTTGGGCCTATTGAAAGGGCCGTAGTGATTGTGGATGACCGTGGAAGATCAACAGGGAAAGGCATCGTTGAGTTTGCTTCTAAACCAGCAGCCAGAAAAGCATTTGAAAGATGCAGTGAAGGTGTTTTCTTACTGACCACGTAAGTCATTTTACCATCTTAGTGCTTATTTGAATGATTTCCATTTGTTACCTATCTTATATAAGTTGGTAATAAAACTGGAACTATTTTTGTTACTAGAACTCCTCGTCCAGTCATTGTGGAACCACTTGAACAACTAGATGATGAAGATGGTCTTCCTGAAAAGCTTGCACAAAAGAACCCAATGTATCAAAAGTAAGCTGGTTTTAAACAATTTCGTAGAATCTGACCACCTAGTAATCTTTGTTTTGCTTAACATATGCAAATTTCTTTAGGGTGGTAATTAATATAACAATCAGCTTAAGATAAAAAAAATTAAATGCCATCCAAATACAATTGTTTTTCTTTGGTAATTCTGGTTAGGTGTGAAAATGTACTGAAATGTAGGTGTGGGTGGGGAAGAAAAAGAAGCCTTGGCAAGAAATTTGGCTAGAAAAACAAAATTCAGGAAGCCAGAATTTATTTCCAGTGCACATGCTCTTTGTTACTGAAGCAATCTGTCCCACGTTCTTTTGCAGAGAAGATGAGTGTGTGTATCTGAAAGTTATCTTTGCTTTCCTCGTATTCACTACAGGTTACAGGCCAGTGAGATGTAACTCAGGGAATCAGGTAGAATTTGTGTGCATATCAAGTTATTTTACGTCTAAATTTTGTGCTTTGTTAGGGAGAGAGAAACACCACCTCGCTTTGCCCAGCATGGCACATTTGAATATGAATATTCCCAGCGCTGGAAGTCCTTGGATGAAATGGAAAAACAGCAGAGGGAACAAGTTGAGAAAAACATGAAAGATGCAAAGGACAAATTAGAAAGTGAAATGGAAGATGCCTATCATGAGCATCAGGCAAATCTTTTGCGCCAAGGTAAACTAGCCTTTTGAATTCCACTGTAGCGTCTTGAGTTCAGCTGTAGCATCCTTTGGTTTTTTTTGAACCTCATTAACAGGACTTAAAAATATTCCCAATATACAGATCTGATGAGACGCCAGGAGGAATTAAGACGCATGGAGGAACTTCACAATCAAGAAATGCAGAAGCGCAAAGAAATGCAATTGAGGTGAAATTTTGTTGTTTTTGTTCCGCATTGACGTTCATTTTATAGAACAGATGTAAATCTTTTGCAGTATGCAATTTTTGTTAATACAGCTTTTTCTTAGGCTAAATGTTAATTTGTAATTGGACTGCTAATGGGTGCTCTGTGTAGGCCTTTATTTTCTATGCTCCGACTTTTGTAAAGTTTGGGGACTTTCTGCTAGGGTAATCAAATGACAATTTAAGAGACATGGGTAACATTTTGGTTAACCTGACTGATGGGTATTCTAGGCAAGAGGAAGAACGCCGTCGGAGGGAAGAAGAGATGATGATTCGCCAACGTGAGATGGAAGAACAAATGAGACGCCAAAGAGAGGAAAGCTACAGCCGTATGGGCTACATGGATCCAGTAAGTAGACGACAAAACTTGAAAGGACAGGTGGTGGCACAATGCTTAAGCCTCCAACCACTGGGGCAGCGGGAGGTTTGAGTCCCCTGACATTGTGGTTAGCAGTCCCATTGCTTACCCAACAGTGTCACTGAACCCTAGGGGCCCTTCCTATTGTCATAAAGCAGTGGTTCTCAACCTGTGGGTCGTGACCCCGTGGGGAGTCGAATGACCCTTTCACAGGTTGCCCAAGACCATTGGAAAACACATACAGTGAACCCTCGCCACTTCGCGCTTTGACTTCTGCGGCTTCACTCTATCACGGTTTTTACGTAACAGTGCATGCTCTGTCATTACTGCCACTGATCGGCTCATACTGTACACGCTTGATGCCATAAATAATATAACAAATAATAAATGATAATTGTAAGGTCCAAAATGTTTTACTGTATTTTCCCTTTTTCGTTTAATAAATTGGGTAATACGAGTGTAATGGTGACTAAAGGGTGTTTTTTCATGTCCTCTATGCTCTAACTACAAAAATATTTGATTTACAAATAAGGAATCCTACTTCGCGGAATTTCATTTATCACGGTAGGGTCTAGAACCGATTAACCGCGATAAACGAGGGTTCACTGTATTTCTGATGATCTTAAGGAACTGAGACACTGTTCATCTATCCATCTCCAGGAGGGTCTACATGATGACTTAACCATGCTACACCATGCTTCAAGACAAAATTTCATTTATTTGTAATTAAAAATACATATTTCACAATAAGTAATTACATGTTGTTTTTGTGGTTAATCACTGCTTTCATTATGTTCAGTTTGTACCAATGAAAATACATCCTGCATGTCAGATATTTACATTACGATTCATAACAGTAGCAAAATTACACTTATGACTTAGCAAATACACGAGAAACTGTATTAAAGGGTCACCGCATTAGGAAGGTTGAGCACCACTGTCAAAAGGTTCCTATGAGTTAATTCAGGATACACCACCATAACAGAACTTGTAGTTATATTTCACGTTATAGTCTCGTGGTATTTTTGCTTTCCCTTAAGGTTTTTCTGGTTTGTTTTTTAAGATTTTTCTGTTCTTACCTAACCTGCTGCCATCGTATTGATTGACACATGGTGACCCTGTAGGGTTTCTGAGGCTGTAAATCTTTATAGTTGGAGAGACTACCTCATCTTTTCTCCTGGGAGTGCCTGGTGGGTTTGAACTACCTGCCTGTGGTTAGTAGTCCATGCTAACCTGAGCACCGCGAGGGCTCTTCATTTTTCATAGATCTGAGGATTTCAATGATTAGCAAGGGGCTTTAGCATCTCAATAACGGTTTTTTTGGGATATTGATCTAAAATGTACCTTAGGCAGCGAACCAGTTAAAATGCTCTGAACGTTACTGTGCTCTTTATTTTGGCAATCTTTTTCTTTCAGAGAGAAAGAGACATGAGAATGGGTGGTGGAGGAGCCATGAATATGGGAGGTAAGCAGGGAAATTAATTTAGTAACATTATCCAATAGCAGGTTTGGGGTGAATTTTAACAAGCATTTTTATTTCCTAGATCCCTATGGTTCAGGCGGCCAGAAATTTCCACCTTTAGGTGGTGGAGGTGGCATAGGTTATGAAACCAATCCTGGAGTTCCCCCAGCAACCATGAGTGGCTCCATGATGGGAAGTGACATGGTAATGTATCCTGTGGGACATAGTATAAAGGAAATTCTCATGTTCTTAACTTATTTGTGTGCTTTTTTTTTTTTTTTTTTTTAAAGTAGGTGGCTGGGCCTCCTTTAGTCTCCCTCTCATGTAAATCATAATATTGAGGAATATTTTGGCAACGTAGAGCTTCCGTGTGTGGCAACCTAAGCAGATGTGGTTGCCAATGAAGAGTCAATGCTGTTTTTAGTATGTGAAGTTCTCTTTGGCAATAAGTACATGAAGTTGCTTTCCATCCCGCACTTTCGAACTCCAGTGCATGGCAAATCCAAATTCTAAAATGAATGATTCTATATCTGAGTGAGATTCTTCAGATGGCAATGTGTCATTCTTTAAGCTGGTATTTGCCATAAGTATGAATCAGACTAGTAGATTGTAGCTTTAGGCATGTTTTAGTGATATTTGTGTAGGACTTTTGACCTACATTTGCTGTGGCTTCTCTATCCCATGGAAAGGGAATTATTTAGTGTTTGACTCGTCGTTTCCCACCTGTTGGGCCTGTTCATAGGTTCACCTTTTAATACAGAACCGACATCTCTTTGCTCTAGGGCAGCAAAAATGATAATTTAAAGCATACTACTGGTATGCATTTGATCTGACCTCTTGATGCTATCGTGTTTTAGCTGCATAGATAGCCTGTCAGGATGCTTTAGAACAATTAAGTCATTGGTCTGAGTGGCTGTAGTAGATTAGGGTTTTACACATCCTTACGAGGACTGTAGTTTTTACTCTGTAGAGTTGGGGTTTCAACTATAGGCCTTTTTGCGAAGGGAGGAGAGCTTCTGTATGTAGCTCACTAGGCAATTTTTAAAACGGGGAATATTGGGATTTAGTATGGAACCTTGCCTCGTTACAATATGCTTAAGGCTTTCGGGGAAGTAAAGGTAGAATTGTAAAATAGCTGGTTGGGTTAAATATAATGCTATTAGCTTTCTTCAAATTGAACTTTGAAAGTATGTGGGTAACATGGATTATGTGATTACTTTAAAAGTTGACTGTAGACATCATAAAAATTTACAAAACCTGATTTAATTCGACATGCTCCACATTACAGAGCGCTTCTGACTTATCTAAGCAATCATGTTATAGAAAAGTCCCAAGTTTTCTTTTTTAGCTTTGGGAATTAAGCAATAAACTCCACTGAGATCCTACTTTTTTCCCCTTTGATAAACTTTTTAGGTTAAGGTTTCCAAGTCTTCTCACGTACCTCTGTGGTATTTTGTAGGAAAAACATACTTAAATCATTTATAGAGACAATTAAGTCCTGATCCTGTTACATTTTATCTTCTCAGTTAACTAGTGCATTTTAAGCAGAGTTTTGAGAGTTTAGGCTGCTGTGCATTTACTGGTAGGGTTCTGTTTGGGGACACAGTTCTATTTAAACTTAGAGATAATTAAAACCAAATGAAATAACTGCTTAACTGCAGTCATGTAAGCTTGGTGTTATGCTGTTTGGGTGGTTACCCCAAAAAATGGAATCATAGCAATGATGTCAAGTGGACTTTTCAAAGACCCAATGGGAAAATTGGGCTGATAGGAGGGTGCTGTATGTTTAGTCATTTTGCTACAGTAAAGAATAGTGCTGTGGGTCATAGTGTCTTAATGGCTTTTTTTAGTGGTGGTTCTGAAGGTAGCAAACCTGTGAGAATACGATAAGCTTTTTGATTAGTTACTGTGCCGCTTAAGTGATTAAGTCTGTTAGTCTTATGCTTTTTCTTTTTGTAGTTCGGTAGTATATATTAAAACTCAACCTTTTAAGATTTCTGCACCTTAGCAGATGTGTCTTAAGATCTTGAAAAGCACAAGGTTTCTTATGCAGCACATGCCACTAACTGGTGAGTAGGTCTTTGTCACTTCATTGAGTCATTTGAATTTGTCTGCTTGGGCTTGTTAGGCTTACTTGGAAATTAAATTTTCTGCTCAGACCTTAAAGTGAGAGTTGCAAGCCTTTCAGTGAGTTTATTTGATGTGAAATTTCTTAGAACTCATTTTGGAATGGGTTTTCACATCTGTACTAATTCCTAAATTTTTTAGCACTACAGGGAAGATCTGTTTTTTGAAACAGGTGTATGAGAATGGCTCAAGTGGGAACATACCACAAGGCATGTATTACGTAAACTAATTTTCAAATTACCCTTTTTTCCTTTCTATGTTCCCGGTACCTGTGGATCGACTCATTGGTGATTGTATCGACGAACGTTGACTACGGAACCTTCTAAAATATTTACTTAACACACATGGACATCAACTACATATAATGAACTGTTAATTACTGTTCCAATAGCGTACTGAGCGCTTTGGGCAGGGAGGTGCGGGGCCTGTGGGTGGACAGGGTCCTAGAGGAATGGGGCCTGGAACTCCAGCAGGATATGGTCGAGGGAGAGAAGAGTATGAAGGCCCAAACAAAAAGCCCCGCTTTTAGATGTGACATCTAGGCTTTCATTCCAGTTTGTTTTGTCTTCTTGTTTAGATAGCAACCTTTTAAATTCTTGCATTTTAGTAAGAAAGCTACCTTTTTATGGATGTTAGCAGTTTATTGACCTAATATTTGTAAATGGTCTGTTTAGGCAGGTTAAAATTATGTAATGCAGTGTTTAAGACAGGAGAAATTTTTTCCTTTTTTTAAAACTGTATAATGTCCCTCAAGTTATGGCAGTGTACCTTGTGCCACTGAATTTCCAAAGTGTACCAATTTTTTTTTACTGTGCTTCAAATAAATAGAAAAAGTAGTTAAAATACCCATCTTCAACTTTGCCATTCATGCTTTTGTGCACATTAGGCTAGGTAGGTATTCCACTTTGAAAGCATGAGAGTTTCTAGCCCTTGAAATGGCGATGCCATTACTGGGAAATGTATGTGGAAGGCAAAGTACTGCTTTCTATGAATAACTCCCCTTGTTTTAAAAAGAAAATACATTTGGAAGCTGTTTCATGATTTGATTTGTCTGGCGTTGTAGGAAGCAAGCTGGTGCGCTAATAAGTATTTTCAAATGGTTAAATGGTCTGAACTGTAAATCTTCACTTAGTTAAGTGTGTTAAAGATTATGGAGCGGGTGTGGGAACCATTACAGGGGGGATAAGTGGGTTTGGCTAAATGGATCTTTTATGACCCAATTATCTTGAAAGTTTCTGAAGAAAAAAAATGGAAAGATCATTCTGTTGCATTCCCCCATTCTTAGTTTTAAAGAAACAAATTCCCAAGCCCTCCAAACGGCTTGTAATGAACTTTTACATTTGAATTAAAGATGATCAAACATGAATTCTTTTCATGTATTACTTTTAAGTAGTTTTTAAGGTGGGGTTTAATCTGGAAAAAATTATCAGGAAGGGAAGGAAAGCAGGGCTAGGCATACATTTGTACACTCTTCCTGGGTCCATATGGAGGGGCAAAATCTGTAGCACAAAGAAATCGGTTGGTTCTCTTCCTCAGAGCTAGTAGTGACTGGAAAGAAGTAGCTTTGCAGGTAAACCAATCTTAATGTAAATTTGTTGGCCTGATTCTCTTTTTTTCTCGTTTCCTTTTAACGTAGCACTGAATTTGGAGAATTGTTCATGCTACACAGTGCAATTACCCCTTTCCCCACCATAAAGTTTTGGAGTCTTTCAATGATGTGTCCACTTCATTGATCCTCCCATTGGAATAAGACATTATGATTTTATTATTGAATGGTTTACTGTGGTTGGTTAGTACAATGAGTCTGATTTCCCCGTGGAAATGTTAGCAAAGAATGACCTTTAAATACTAGGTAAAGTAATGGTTTGGCTGTGTTCTTAGTTTCCATTTAAATTGGTACATTTCAGAATTTTTTCTTTCTCCTTTTCACCTCTTCTTGGCGCTAATTGGCAAAAGTCAAATTCTAAATCAAACCTTTGTTAACATGCTGAAGTTTTGTAATGTGGCTGAGTACAAAGGGAACCTTTTTTGCTGAAACCACTTGAGCACTTTCTGAATAGGCAAGGGGATACTATCAAAGTAAAACATACAAAGGCATGTCACGAAATTCTGGTTGTGACTGACAGGTACATGGTGCGCACTGATTGAAAGAAGAGACTCTCAAGACCTTGGTAATGGGTAGGGTAGTTCTCTCATACCTTATGTCAATGAGCAGAAAGTTTCGTCCCAAGTCAAGTAATGGTGACAAGTATGAGTTTTGTATAGAAAAACGTTTTGTATTTGAAAAGGAGCCCATTATAATTTAGATGCACTGGATAATAGGGACAACAATAAGAGGTGTTCATGGGACACCCACAGAGGGTGAAGTTGAATGTGTGGGTGGGGGGATGGTGGGAAATGGGAAAATCTGCCTATAAAATTAATGTTTCAGTTTATTTTTCAGATTACATGCCTTTCTTTGTAAGGGATGCTGGCACAAAACCCTAAAAATAAACTTGGTAGTACTGTACCTTTGAAGAGTGGTGAAGGATGATAATGGATAACCTCCTGAAAGTTGTGGCTTTGATACCCTTATTGGGTGTTGTAGAATTGCTAAACGTTGTTTAGCAAATAAATGTTGCTTCTTTTCAACTGACATTTGACTTTCATCACTGAAACAGTACCAAGGGTTGTTGTAAGCTACTCAGACTTGCAACGTATTTGCTGTTTTTAGCCTAATGTGAATTTAAATCATCTTTGAAAGTAGTTTTCCTAAAAGCCGATGAAACATGGGGTGGGGAAGGGAAGTAGTTTTGAAGTATTTTAGCCATTTTCTAAAAACAAAAAACAAACACCTGCCCCCATTTCCTCCTATTCACTTTCTCTCATAATTTTGTTTTAAGAGGAACATTGGTTGTTACTGGACTTCCCAATCTCTTAAAAGCTGCATTCTTTAAGACCACCCCTGTCCCCAGTGTGTTCAGTAAGCTTTACCCCATTGGCTTACATTATCTAGAGAAACCATAATCTGCTTAGAATCTTAAACTCTTAAAGTACTATAAACCCCACCCCTCTAGATAGTACTAATGCATAAACTACAATTTGGGAAACTGTAATGTTACGCCTGTGAACATTTTGTATGTGGCATATTATGGCAGATAAAAATTTAGGTACTTGGCTTCTCTTGGGCAAGCCACTACGCTGTGGCTGAATGTTTTCTGGTGTTCTTGGACTGAGCTGCATTAAAAAGTAGTGGCCTGCTACATAACTGCATTTAGCCAGCATTTCTGCAGTGCGTAACTGTGAGGAACGTAGTACCGCAAATGGCAATGGACATTAGGACCCGGATGTAGTATTCCTGCTTGCTCCAAGATTCTCATTGCCGACTGCATACAGGTAGGTAACAAGCAATATAATCTAACTTGGTGACTTGCTATGTACTTTTATTCCGTGGGCATTCTGACATCACACTTCTGACAATGAAAATACAGTGCAGCACCTAACATTTGTATGGTAAAGCTAATTTAGATCAAAACCTGTGTGGGTTTGGGGTTAGAGCCGTAATTTGTTAGGTAGAATTCAGCGTTGCATAAAAAGTGCAAACCTTTGGTGTCTGACTTAAGTTGTGTGGTTTTCTTTAGTTGCATTGTAACTGAAGACAACGTGGAACACACCAGTGGCGTGGGGGAAAGGGAACCAAACCATACTGGGAAGAAGAGTGCTTTTAGCATCTTGACATGGACTTTATGAAGCATGTGGTAATTAGTCTCTGTTGTGGCAAACTGACCTACCTGCCTGTAGGTCACCACTATTGGTGATTTCAATATGTAATCTCGGTGCTTTGCAGGTTGAGTGAATTAAGAATACAGTATTTTTGCAATACATTTTTTCTAACAGCTGGGCTTCATGGGAGAATATCTTTCTTACTAACTTGGACTTAGATGGGGACCTAATGTGAATAGTGCAAGTTGATGTGACTTGTCTAAATATACATGTGCTCTGGACCTTGGGGAAAGTTTTGGTGGCACATTGACTTGGCCTACAGTTGAGAATACACATTGGGAATCATTTCCCAATGATAAGACTTCGTCGTATACCATAGGACTGCAAATGTTCAAAATAGCCAATTGAACTTGCTTCCCTTAGCTTTTGGGGTGTGATGTCATAATTCAAAATGTTCCAGTTATGAGAAAACAAGTCTTCCCAAAGCACTTTTGTTGTCTATGGAGTATGGACTTTAGCTTTGCATCAACTCTTTCCAGACCTCAATTCAACTAAACTTTGGTCTCTTAACTGGTTCTTAGCTGGCATGCATGAGAAAGTTTTTTGTATGCTGCTTTCTGCTCTGTAACTGGAAATTTGATAAACTTGCATAAATGCCAGTGAAAACTCTTCATGTCTGTGAAATTTTCTGTTGTATCAAGAATGGAGCCCTGGTGGATTAGTGGTTATGAGTTGGGCTGTTAGTCATAAGGTCAGCAGCTCAAAACCACCAGCTGCTCCATGGGAGATGGGTGGGGCTTTCTACTCCTGTAAAGAGTTAGTCTTGGAACCTTACAGGGGCAGTTCTCCCTGTCTCATAGAGTCACTATGAGAATATTGACTATGTCAGCGAGTATGGTTTTGCTATCAAGAATAATAAATAGCTTGCTCATTGGCAATTGTTCACAAGGTGGGTACATAAGCTTTACATATATCTACTTTATTCCGCAAACTTCTCATTGAAGATCAAATGGTGAAGTTTAGCAGATAAAACGTAATGCTCAGTGTCACTAAATTAGCTTAGAACCTTGCTGAGGCGTCCTTCCTGAGGCATATTCTTAAATTGGTGGCCAGCAGCTTGCTACTGTGATTTAGTCCTAAGGTGCTTAGAAGGAAATGCTCAAGAATTGTTTGCTAGCCATTAGCAACAATTCTCAGAGAACATACTTAGTACAATAACATGGACTTCAGGAAATATCACTGGGTTGGGGGGGGGGTACTTTGCTTGAAGGTGACTAGCTTTGACATTTTAGAAACTGTGACTAATCTGTTCTTACTATTTGTATGTAGTTTAAAAATGTGACTCAGAGCAGTGAGTTTTTTAAAAGCACTCATCCAAAAGCTGGGAATAAGTGGTGGTGGGTGGTTCTCTCGATAATAATGCTATACAGAGGTGCTTGCATCGTATTTCATAGTCTTATTAAACCAAAATTACTACTTTCAATGAGAACAGCCTGAAGTTCAGAGGTGTGATGCCAGAATGCATTTTCGTACTGTCGTACTGTTAGGCCCTTGGAACAGATAGCGGTGCTTTTTCTGAAAGATGAAAGAAATGCAGTGGGTTCTCTCCAAGGTTGTAAACCTACGAAGAATGCATAACAGTCTCACTTTTCCCCAGTAGACAGCTGCGTGTGACTAGTTTCGGACTTTTAACCTTAACGGGGTTGCATGTTTATTGTTAATCATTGTCAGCTGCAGTGACATGATCTCACAAGTCCTGCATTTTATGGTCTTTCCCTAAATGATCTTGGACAGGTTTGAGAGAGCCAGGATGTTTGTTCTGGGCCTTTATTTGGTTTGGCTTTAGCTGATAATGCAGTGTTCTGTCAGCTAGTGCAGTTCTCAAATGACTGCTAATTAGGGAAAGAATTCAAAGGATTGACTGTTTCTAATCATCTGTCATTGCTGCTAGATAATGATTGGCAATTTTAAAGACTCAGCTGTGGAAATCTGTTTGGTAAAGCACCAGCTGTAAAAAGAGTTGCTTTTGAACACCAGTGCTGAGAAGAGAGTTTTTTGGTGGGTAGAAGAGTGGACTGGAGCATAATCAGAGTTGGGGAGGAATGCAAAACGATATAGTATCCCTTATGGATGGTGCATGTGCAACAGGGAACTCTTAAAACAGCGAGGGAGAAGAAAACAGGAGCCAGAATAAGGTTGATCTGCTTTTTGTGCACTGTGGCATGCTAGGCATATTAGTGACTAAAATGTCTTCTCCCTTAAAAATTTAGAATCCTTACTACCCTAGTAAGGTGTAGCTTCCTTGCCCCAACTTAAAACTCGGTGAGGACTCGGGGAAGAAGGCGAACTACAGGATTGCAGGAAAACAACTGCTGCAGTGTTGGGTACTGTAGAGTGGGGAGGGCATCTTGGTCGACTCCTGTTGCGGTTGGTCATTCCCGCCTGAGAATGAAAGATATTTGAAATAGGAAGTAGGAGGGAGGTGTGCCTTTACATGAAAAGAGAACTGATGTTGACATTCATTTGGTAAGGTAAAGGTTGTCACATACCTTCACATAAGGGATAGTATATTTTGGGTTGCAGTTAAATGTCTGTGCTCAGACTGGTGGAAGGAATAGTTGGGCATTTGTATTTGAGAGAAAACACCGTTTTCATGCTAATTTAGGTTTTAGACTCTTTCCCCTGAAGTTGCCTCCTTTTTTTTAATACTGTAATTTGTCCCCCAGTCTTTTGTCTTTGGTTTTTTACTCTTTTAAGATTTTGAAGTTAACTAGCATTTTCAACCTTTCATTTTATGCCTTTGCCTTTTATTTTAACTTTGTCTTAATTATTCTTTAGGTAAGAATTATTGGTGTTGGCTGATAATGGAATGCTCGTTTGGTTGAAGTAAGTTTACTTAAAATTTTTAATCTTCTGTTTAATAGTAGATAGTTTTAGTTATGTAAATTGGTACTTAAGTGTTCAAGGGATAACCTCTCTTGAGGTATAATATTTCCATAATTTTGGTTTTTTTTTAAATCTGCAGAACAGAAAACCCTAGAATTGAGAAAAGGTCACTTTAGTTCTCTAAATTTTCAAACTTATTCATACAATTTGCTTATTTATTACTCATTAAATGGTTTAGAAAACAACAAAGTATACATACGAAGAAAATTTAGAAGGTGACCGTGGTATGGAGAAGTCCCTGTGGTTTGCTGAATGTTTTTAAAATAGTTTCTTTTTAATAATAGGTGGAATAAGACTTTTATCTCAAGACAACACAGCATGAGCCAACCAAAAAGAACCACAACTTGTTCAGACTGATCAAGAGTCTAGGTAAGTTACTTTAAATTGTGTTAAAAACAGTACGTGGATGCGTTAGTTTCTTCTATATTAAACTTGCTTGTGGGAAGTAGCTTGGTTTTGGTTTCATAATTCTTAATTAAGCTTTAAGGGTAAAGAGCCCTAGTAGTGCAGTTTGTAAGTATTGGACTACTAACCACAAAGTTGGTGTTTCAAACCTACCACCTACTTCTGGGCAGGGGGAGATGCTCCTGTTAAGATTTACATTCTGGGAACTTGAGTGGGGTGCTATAACGCAGAACTCACTCAGTAGCAAGGGAATTAGTGCTCAGAAAGACAGGCTAACATTCTGATTAAATATAGTAAGTTCCTGAGAAGAGTTATGGTTGCTTACCGTAAGTCTTTCTATAGGTGGGTTGATAAATTCTGGTTCTAAACTATCTTATTTTGTAGATTTACTATTAATAGCCCCATCTTTGATTACGATTTCTATGGTGATGAAAAGTTCATGTGGTGCAAATAAGTTGTTTTTTATATTCTATATTTTAATAATGGTGCTTTGAAGTAATCATATATTTACTTGGCAGGATCAAGTGAGCTGAGTCCAGAAAACCAGTGAGGAGTGAGCAGAGCAAGGAGGAATGACCAACCAATCCTTTTATCTTTAATAAAGACAGATATTTTGAAACGTTTCCTTTTTTTTTTTTAAGGTATGAGACTTCTTACAAAAAAAGTTGCCGGTGCACAGTAAAGAGTGTCACAGATAGCCAAATTGCATGTCATTCAGAGACGTGTTTCATGAGGTGTTTTTGGCCCTTTGAGCTAACATGTCATACTTGGTCATCAACATTCTAAAATTGTCTTCATTCTTTTTCGTAGAGACAAATAGCATTTTATAGCCAACTTCTCTATATGGTACGTTTATATGATGGATTCTGGAGTTTTACAAGTATTAATCGGGTTCCATTGATGTCTCTGAAGAGTTGTAGTACAGCCCACCTAATGCAATCTTTAAATTGCTGGATCAACTATTGTGATTAAGTGTAGTGCCAAGCAGCCAAGACTAATGCCTTGTCCCCTTCACAGCAACAGGTGCCACTATGTTAAGGACTTGCACCAACTTAGAACAAGATCTGGGCCAAATGTAAGTTCTCTTGCTGTATTGGGTTGATCTGGTTTGATAATACAGGAATCTTAGGTGGCCATCAAGTTGGTTCTGGCTTTTAGTGACCCTACATAAAACTACAGAAGTAGAGCTACTATTGGTATATAAAAATGGTACTGTTGTAGCTATTTCGTTAGGGCCATCTCATTGAGGACCTTTATAACCTACCATATAATGTGAAATCACCATTTCTTCATATTTTCTCATTTGTTAGCTCCACATTCCTCCTCCCCTCCGCCACGTCCCTAGGTAAATTACTAATCTTGTCTATGGATTTACCTTAGATTTCACGTATAGAAAATGAAACAAGAAGCAAAGTTAGCAATGAATAAAAATAAATCCAGAGAAACAAAAACGAGATCTTTGCCAGCGCCTCCATGTAGGGGAGGGCTTCAATAAGTTCTGTTGAAAAATGTTTTCACTTCCCATATGTTCACTGCAGGTCACTCCCCATGGAAACTACCTTTCAACTTACGGGCTGCTTATAACAGATCTCATGGAATACTATAAGGTCTCAGAGGGATGAAATAATTGCAAACCAAAGAATCATGCCCCAGCCAAATTGATAGACATTCTTATCATGGAAAGATATCCTCACTATGTGGGTAATCAGGGATATTTCAAAGAATGCAAATTCCAGAACATTTGTGGCCATACAGAATCAGTATGCCACTTTTCTGTCAGTTTGTCTTACTATGCTGGTTTGTATGATAGGGAATCTCACTGGTATTTCAAATACCAGCAGGGTCACCTACAGCGAACAGGTTTGAGCAGAGCTCCCAGACTAGACTGCAAAAGGAATCGGTCAGGCTGTCCACTTTGGAGGAAGTGAAAACCATCACAATGTCATATAATAAAGGCCCAATGAGCAGAGGCAGAATATTAGATACAGTGCAAGAAAATGCGCCCCAGAGGTTAGAAGGTATTCAAAACAGGACTAAGCTGCCTTCTCTACTTGTAGCATTAACCATAATGACATGGTGTAAATCCTTTGAGACTCGTTCGCTGATGGGGCACATACCACCTATCTCCTTCAGATTTGGGTTTTCTTTATAACCCTTGGATCACAGGCTGGCGTGTTGCTTCTTTGGACTTTTGATAGCTTGCTTCTATGACTTAAAGCCTTTAAGACCTGAGGCACTTTGTGATGCCCATGTGCTTTCTTCACATTGCTATAGAACCAGATGTTCAGCAAGCTCTTGAAGGGTGAGTAGCAAGTAGGAGGCTGATAAGTCCCAAAGTAGACTGGCAACACGGCAGGCACCTGGCTCAAGTCCCAAGAACCAGAGACCAGATAACAAGGGCCCTTTTCTGATGTGACCCCTGAAAATACCAATACTCTGAGGCAAAAAGTAAATCCTATAGATTCCTGTATATTCACCCAAACAAGGGATACTGCCCTTATTCCCTCCTCATTGCACAGACAAACCCACATGCCTGTTTTCATAGCAATAGCATCTCCGCACCCACAACCAGGCCACACCAGTGTTTTGCCTCTTGTCCCTTGCCTTACACATTCACCCATTATCTTTTTTTTCTTATCACAATCCTTACATCAATTGTGTAAAGCACGTTTGTACATTCATTGCCTTATCCTCAAAACATTTGCTCTCCACGTAAGGCCCTGGCATAAAATATATTTCTGTGGAACTTATTAATTCTGATTAACCCTCAAGTTACATTTTCCCATTTTTACAAATCTGATATGCAGACAATTGCCTATTTACTATTTTATTTCATTCTCACTCTTCTTCCCTCATCCCACTTAGCCTCTTTCTCTTTTCTCTATTTGACCACCGTATATTTTCCAGCTCCTATTAGAACCTTCCAATGTCACTAGACAGAACCAACTCTGATCCAGCAGCTTACACAATGCTAAGGAAACAGCAGTCAACCACAGTACACCAAAATAATAAAAACGAACACAAGCAACTGAAGCACCCAAAGTACTCTGCAGAAACAATTAAAAAGAATCACATATTTAAAATAATTATATTTGAATAGATAAGGGAACACTAGAACAACAGAAGAAATCGAAAACTAAAATCCTTAAGTCAAAAGAAACCTCAAATGACAATAACAGAATTAGGCAACATTGTAAGAGACCTGAGGAACAGAGCAGAAGAGGAAAATAAAATCTGAGCTCCGAGACATTCTGACAATTTAGGAGAGAATAAACAACACAAAAAAGGAATGCTAGGCGGCACTACCAAGAGAAATAACCTCACTGCCCCTAGAGGTGTTGCAGCATGGCCACCCTGCCACAGCTGTGTTATTAGAGGGCAGAGAGAAGGGCTATGTCTAGGTTCAGGGGTCTCACGTGAACCACCTGAATGACTGCTAGCAGTCCTATTGCACCTGTGTGACCTGGACCACCTGGGGATCCTGAAGGGTGTGGGAGAGGGGAGTTGCCCTCTAAGTAATTTTGCAAAGTGATAGGATCCTGGCAGTTGGATAACAGTGCATGCCCTCAGGGCCCAGCATGCACGTTGGCTGGTTAATGCATGAAGGAAGGTGATGTCCCATTCGTGGGCACTGGCCACAGTCACCAACTGACCACCACCGTTCTGCCAAGACTCAGCCGCAGACCCCGGTACAGGCTGCAGGAGCCTCCACTCCATGCCAGGAGCACATCCCACTGTAACAGGCATAGAAACTGGGGGGCGGGGGGGGGGGGGGGGGGGCCCCCCCCCCCCCCCCCCCCACACACACACACACAACAGCCTCGGTGGGACACAAGCAGAGTTCGGCAAATGTGGACTGAAGATGACCTTGTGTCTGTCCCCACACGACCACCAGCTGAGGGGGCTGCGGGGAGAATGGTGGGATCTGGCAGAAGCTAAGTGGTCAAGGAATCCTTTGGAAAGAAAGTGAACTGAATGTGTGTGTGTGTGTAGAAATAACCTATGTTTCATCAGGATCCTGTAACAAAAAGAAACAAAATATCTACAGAAAATAGCACAAGAAATCATAAAACATTTCCCCAACATCACAAAGGAGTAGAAAATCACTATTCAACAAGCTGAGAGAACTCCAGGTAGGATGGATCCCCAAAGAAAATCATGACATATCATAGTGAAACTACAATTTTACGAGAAAGGAGAGAATCCTGAGGGCTACAGAAAAAAAATCACCTATAAAGGAAAACCAGTAAGGATAAGCTTGGATTTCTCAGCAAAAACAATGCAGGCAAGAAGGCAATGGACTGGCATATATAAAATTCTGTAAGAAACAAAGGCCAATCAAGAGTCCTCTATCCAACAAAATCATCCCTTAGGTACAAGAGAGAAATAAAAAAGGTATTTCCAGACAAGGGAAAATAAAGGAATTCATACAAACAAGACAAACCAAAAACTAAAATAAATACCATGGAGTTAATGCGAACTCATAGCAACCCTATAGGAAAGGGTAGAGATGTCCTTGTGAGTTTCTGAGACTGCAAGTCTTTACAGGAGTAGAGAGCTACATCCTTCACCCGAAGAGCTGCTGATGGTTTCAAACAGCTCTTAAACAAGAGCTAGCATTACAAAAAATATTAATTGGATCACTATGGATGGAGAAATCACAGAAACCTGAGAGCACTATACAGGGCAACACCACCCAGAAAAAACAGACACTAATAAAAAGGGAAAAAAACAAACCCCTCAAACAATAGCAAAAACAGCAAAATAATAGCAGCAAGATTAACTATTATCAATGTCACGGAATGTCAGTGGATAAAGTGCACCAATCAAAAATAGCTGACTGGATTAGAAAACCAGATCTAGCTATATGCTGCTACCAGAGACACACCTTAAAGACAAAAGTAGACTGAAAATCAAAGGATGCTGAAAATCTACCAAGTCAGGGACAACCATAGAAACGCAGGAGTGGCAATATATTAATCTCAGATAAAACAGACTTCAAAAAGGAAAATAGATACAGAAATGGACACTACTTAATGATTAAAGTAACAATACATGATGAACATATAGCCATAATAAATGTATACACTGTTACTTGGTTTTGCTCGGTCTAGTTTTTGTGCATGTTAGTATCTCCGCAGGTCTGTCTAAATAAGACAGGCTGGATGAACAATCTGGAGGAGAAAACAATGAGACCGACAGTTTGGGGGGACATGGGAGAGTAGGTGGGAGGAAAGGTAGTGGTGTTAACAAACCCAGGGACAAGGGACCAACAAGTAATCCAAATCAGTGGTGAGGAGGGTGTAGGAGGTCTGGTAGGATGTGATCAAGGGTAATGTAACCAAGAGGAATCACTGAAACCCAAATGAAGACTGAGCATGATAGTGGGACAAGAGGAAAGTCAAGGGAAATAGAGGAAAGAGCCAGGAGACAAAGGGCAATACGATTATAGAGGTCTAAATAAAGGCATGTACATATGCAAATATATATATGAGGACGGGGAAACAGATCTATGTGCATATATTTATAGGCTTAGTATTAAGGTAGCAGA